ATGAAGCAAAGTAAAATGATTACATTCAACATAAAGTTAAATTATATTCAGAATACACTATTTAGTAAAGAATAAAATTCATAATATTTCAATGCCTAAAAGGATAAGCTTCAGATATAAGAAATATTTATTTATATTTAAAAAAAAAAAAGTCATGTAAATAAGAATTTACCATTGACTCACTCTGCACAAATGGTATGTTATTTGATAAATCAAGGGCAGTTCTGAAGGAAAAAAATATTTTAAATTATTTCAAAAATATCTATAGGTATACATCCCCACTAGTTTTGTTTCCCAATTTCTCACAGATATTTGATGGTTCTTAATTAAAAGCTGCTGCAACAATGGGCTCAGACATAGCAACGACTGTTAAGATGGCGCAGGAGCTGGCAGTGTTTCGTTCTGTTGTACACAGGGTCGCTATGAGTCGGAACCGACTCATTAACACCTAACAATTAAAATCTATTCAAATCACCTATTTATTGTGTATGTATGAGGTCCTTATCTTTCTTCTCATCTCAGAATTTGTCCCTTCTACAATTCGCATATTCTTTCCTCTAAGCTCAGAGTAAGAAGTGACTTAATTCCTTTACAAAGCTAAACTTTCCTTCTTGGTATTCTATTTTGTGCTCTCCTGCACTGGGTAAGAGCTTGGCTGCTAACCAAAAGGTCAGCAGTTTGAATCCACCAGCAGCTCCTTGGAAACCCTATGGGACAGTTCTACTTTGTCCTATACGGTCGCTATACGTCGCAATCGACCCGACTGCAATGGGTTTGGTTGGTTGGTTGTTTTTTTCCCTCCGTAGGATCTTGGTCCTTCATTCTCAGAAATTCCAGTCCCAGCTTCCGTTCCCTAAAACTTTAAATCGTTCTTCACTCTTTGCTAACTTGACTTGATCCTATCTTTCTCTTGCCGCTCACGTTTTCTTCTTCTTTCACTGTGTTAAAATTCTCAAGTCAATCAGTTTTTCTAATTCTACCGATGCCATACTTTCAAAATCCAATGGCCTTTTCTACCTCCTCATTCTCCTTGATTTTTAAGCAATGTATTAAACCTGTTTCTTTGGTTTTCCCAATGCCACACTAGTCTAACTATCTGTGCCATCTTTAAACAGGCATTAGGTCCCCTTCAATGAAATCCTTTCCTTCCAACACCCTTAAATGTAGATGCTCACTAAGAATCTGCATCAGCCCTTTGCTCTTCTCTGTGCTTTCACCCACTCTCACATCGGTGGTCATCTTCACATTCACCACTGCCTACTTCATCTCTCTAGCCTGATCTCTCCCTAGAGATATAATCTCCATCTCTGTCTGTTGAAGACTGCCTAGTATCCCCCAAATAAACATGGCTAAAACCAGAATTCACATTCCTCTGCCCCAAGCTTGACTTCTCTTCTGAAGTCCGTTTTTCTTTCGTTCTTCTCCTAGTCTTCCATGTCTAAAATTTCCAGATGATCGTGGAATCTTTCTCGACTCCCTCCCCTTCAAATTTAAACAATCACTAAAACCAAACCTGTTGCCATGGAGCTGATTCTGACTCATAGCAACCCTAAAGGACAGAGTAGAACTGCCCCATAGGGTTTCCAAGGAGCGGCTGGTGGATTCCAACTGCCGACCTTTTGGTTAGCAGCCAAGCTCTTAACCACTGTACCACCAGGGTTCCTAAACAATCAGTAGGCCCTGTTAATTCTTCCTTCATAATATTTCTCATATCTGCCACTTTTTTATTGCCACTAATCCAGTTCTGACCTTAACCTCTTTATGCCTGGATTACTACAAAAACTGCTCACTCAGGCAATCGTCTTCCCCACCCTCCATTCCCCAGTCTATACTGAACACAGTCACTAGATTTATCTTTCTAAAATACCACTGGACATACATCATGCTCTTTTTCAAAAATCATTTAATGATACCCATTGTCTATCATATAAAACCCAAATCCCTTAGCCTGGCATTCAAGGCCCCTTTCATCAGTCTGTTTTGTTATTTTTTCTGATATTTCCCACTACTCTCCAGCCTAAATATTCTATTCAAAAAGGCTAAGTCAATTCACTGTCTCAAGAACATACATTGCATGTACCTTTGTTTGCAATCTTCTCCACATACTCTGTTCTCTCCTCTGTACCTATCGATACATTTTGGAGAGTAGATTAGGGTGGTAGGGAAGAGCACAGACTCTCAAGTCAGAACCTGGGTTTAAACTCTAGGTTTGCCATTTACGGAGTGACTTTCGGCAAGTTACTTAACCTTTCTGTACCTTGGTTTCCTCCTCTATAAAGTGGAGATAATAATAGTGCCTACCTCATAGGACTGTTGTGAGGATTAATTAAATCTGAAAAATGGATGCTTAAGTCAGAGAAAATGAGGGAAACCCTCAGTGAGATGGACTGACATAAAAGCCACAACAATGGACTCAAATATACCAACGATCATGAGGACAGCACAGGACCAGGGAACGTTTCATTCTGTTACACGTAAGGCCATGAGTCAGAGCCAACTCAACAGCAACTAACAACGTAATGTTCCTGGCACAGTGTAGCACAATGTAAGTGTTAACAATTATTAATATTTCGAGGCTGAGCTCAGCTGACACCTCTTCCATGAAATCTTTCTTGATAGCTACAATCCACAGTGATCTCACCCTTTTCTATGTTTCTAACACATTTATTGTGAACTACAAAATTTTAAGTGTAAAACAGGGTTTCTCAATAACACACTACTCACATTTTGCGATGGATAATTCTTTGTTGTGGGAGTTATCCTATGCATTGTAAAATGTTTAATAGCACCCTCAGCCTCTACCCACTAGGTACCAGTAGCAACCTGCCTTCAGGTATGAAAACAAATAATGTCTCCGGACAGTGCCAAACAACCCCGGGGGGAGGGGGGCGGCAAAATGCCCAGTTAAGTACTCCTGGGATAAAACAAGATAAAATACATGAAAGCACTTTGTAAACCTCAAAACAACATACAGGGTCAAGAATTATTGCCTATCAGCACTTATGAAATTCACTTTTGTATTGTTTAATTAACTTGCAATTCATATATACTTTAAGTGTCCAGTTAGTTTTAAGATCCTTTAGCACAGAACCCATACTTTAATCAGTTTCACAATCACCCCCCATAGAAGTCCTTGGAAATTTGTTGACTGATAGATAAGACACAGGTAACTTGAGACAGAACACAGTGAATTGGAAAGAGCATGAGAGTTGCAGTCGGAAGATCAAGGTTAAAGTCTTAGCTTTGCCCTTACTAATTTTACAACTTTGGGCAATTCATTAAAGTCTATGAGCCTCAGTTTTCTGATCTATAAAATGTAACATCTATATAGGGCAGCTATGATGTTCAAATGTGATCATGTACATGAAAGAACCATGCCTATTACAAAGCTATTATTACAGATGACAGACTCATATGTATAAAAAAAAAAAAAGCAAAAATGATTATTACACCATACCTCATTTATCCAGAATCATCAGGGACTGAGTTTCTTATTTTCTAGGTAACTGAAGCTTATGCCTTTAGTGTTTAACTTTAAAATTTTAACTGTTTTGGTGGAAATCTTGTTTTCAGAAGTACTGTATTTCTCCTTTCTTCTAAAATAATGGGTACTGAATATAATTTAACTTTTCCTAACTGACTCTGGGCCATTGTTATTAACATTAATTACCATTCATATATACATACATATATATGTATATTTACATATATATATCCGCGATTATCAGATGTTTAATGCTGTTGATCTTTTTATTAAATAGTATCAGAAATACTGCTCCTACTTATTTTGTTCTACCACAGCCCTCGTGCCCCTTCCATTGCCTCTCTAATTCTCTATGTGCTGGAAAATTAAGTAATTAAGTTTGCTTAAATGGAAACTAAAAAAGAAAAAAACAACCTTGAAGGAGGGCTCCAGAAGTGCTGCTATAAATAAAGTAAATAAACTTAATTTGGAGACTTCCTGGCTGCTCAGAGTTATTTTTTACTTACTTTCCGGTTCTCAGCTGTGTTCTGGATAGCTGAGGTTGCTGGATAAGCAATTTTTTTTTTTGTTTTTAGTAAAAGTATATAGAGACAGTACCATGTATTATAATACATATATATAATAGAAATGTACATAGAACTAACCTACCTATATTAAAAAAAGTGAGTGCCCAGTAAATATGTGTATCTGTTGAGTGCGTGCTCATGCCACTTAAAAAATTGTACCTCATTAATTTAAAGCCACAACAAAGTACACGATCATGCCATTTAAATGCAAAAAAAGAGGCCAGAATAAAAGTGCTAAGTCTCATCATAAACAAACCAAAAGGGAAAGTAAAATTATATTACTAAATTTACTTCAGAATCTCTTGATCCTCTTAATTCTTTCAAGACTCATATATTTTCCTACCTGAACGAACAGGAAGACAAACAGAAAGGTTTAACTTTTCCAGTTAAAAAAAAAAAAATTTATTCACCTTTACTTAGGAGCAAACATTAAATTTCAGACAAGAATTTATTAAAACCTAACAGGAGAAAAACAAAGTCAAAGAGACAACTGCTTTGTGAGTCACGAGTATTTTGTTCTTAGGCCTGTAAATAACACTGGGCCACAGAAAAACCTGCTCCCTGGGCCCTCCCAAGAACATCGGTACTATTTTTAGGTATATAGTATAAACAGTAATAATATAGGTAATACGAACAAAATCATCTGTGATAATTCCTGATAATTAACCTCTACTAGAAGTTGTAAAACACTAAAGGATAAAGGGATGTAGGGGTGTCGGGGTGGGGCAGTCAAGGGAGTGAAATTTGGGAGGAGAAAGATAAATCAACTTAACATTTGCTTTTTTTGGTTTGTTTTAAAAACTTTTAAAATGGCTCAGGACCAAATGAAAAGTGAAAGAAAAAGAGAGGGAAACAGAAAAAAAAGAAAAGAGAGAAAGAAAAATAGAAAGAAATCATGGCACATCTAACAGTACTTAGAAGCTAATGGAGTGAATTATCTAGCCTTGTACCTGACAACCGTAGTCCAAAAGAAGCTGTAGTATATCCAAGTTTTCGTTTTCAATAGTTATGGTAACAGCATTTCTCCCAAGCACATCTACGCAATTTATGTTCAAGTCACCTGAACTGTTTTCCTCCAAAATCTTTTTAACCATATAATAGTCACCTAAATAACAATACACAAACATAATTTAATATCCATGACAAATAAGAATGACTGTAAGGAATGAGGTTGATTTAAAAGATTAAAAACCTAAACTTATTTTTCTAAGTGGAAATGTGCAAAGAAAATGTGAACATTTCCTTGCTGAAAACTTATATTCTGATAACACAGACATCAGCTGCAAACATAAAAATCAAGTAGAAAATTTTTAAAGCATTGTTTGAAATTCATAACTGGATGCTTGTAAGGAGAGAATATTTTAGAAGATATTTAAAGCAATTTAAAAAAGGATGCTGAAACACAAACTGGAGTCTAGAAAAATTAGAAGCGCCTAAAGAAATCAAGTTTTACAGCTCAGATACACACACACATTTACTCACACATCATAGTAGTTAAAAATGAGATCTAGTAATAAATGGAGGATCTTATAAACATACATTGGAAAAGGAGTATAACTATGTATATGCTTTGGGTACGTACATTAAGAGGTAAGGATGCCCCCAAAACCTTTCTTTTCCTTCCCACCCTCCCAATGCATATCTCATGAATGAAGCTTTTTCAATTAGATGGCCAGGGAACATTCAGATCACAAATTCTAAGGCAGGACTAGAATTAACACTGATAGAGGCCAAAGTCAGAATATTTGAAAGCAAAATCTTGACTTGTCAGGAGCACGAAGATTTCCTTCTGCCCTGACATTAGCCCACATCAAAACAGTTGACCCATGTGGGGAAATGAGAGTAACTATGCAGGCGATCATTTTCACTGAGGGCCCACTATACTTGTCTGCAGCCCAGCTGGTGCAGGAATAAGTGGAAAAAATCAAGAGAAATACTAATTAAATGGAGAAAGAAAGCTAAGTGGGGTTTGTTTTATTTCATTTTTTTTTTTTTAACACAGGATGAATAAACCATTTTTAAGTGACTTGAAAATACACTTACATATTCAAGTCTATGAATAAGAAAGTGAGGGAAAAAAACAATAGGAGTAGAAAGCAGAAGAATAAAGAAATATAATTTCATGATACAAAAAGAGAAATGACTAAAGCTGGACTAAATGGGCAAATAAGAAAGATGGGTAACGGATTTTGTTAAAATTTCAAACAAAATTTGCCATTATTTTTAATCAATGGCCTTAAAATCCTCATTCACTTTGAGGGAAGTTGAATGGTGGTTTTCCTGATGGCAGATGTCCTTATTGCCTCAAGAAGAAAACTGTTTTCTTCTAGTCACAAAAAAGAAATATTTTCCTCATAGCATTAATTAATATTTAGACACTAACGATTCATGGTAAAAACTGTGTATCTAACTCCTATCAAACACTTTACAAAGTGATGGTCTTAGTCACAAGTCGAACCAATAGTGACCAGACAGATGTGGTTGTTAGGTGCTGTCGACTCAGTTCCGACTCATAGCAACCCCACGCACAACAGAACAAAACACTGCCCAGTCCTGTGCCATCCTCACAATCATTGTTATAGTTGAGCCCACTGTTGCGGCCACTGTGTCAATCTATCTCATTGAGTCTTTTCCTCTTTTTCGCTCACCCTCTACTTTACCAAGTGTGATATCCTTCTCCAGAGACTGGTCCCTACGGATAGTATGTCCAAATTACATGAGACAAAGTCTCACCATCCTCACTTCTAAGGAGCATTCTGGCTGTTATTTCTTCTAAAACAGATTTGTTCGTTCTTCTGGCAGTCCAGGGTATATTCAATATTCTTCACCAACTCCATAATTCAAAGCCACCAATTCTTCTTCGGTCTTCCTTATTCATTGCCCAGCTTTCGCATGCATACGAGGCAACTGAAAACACCATGGCTTGGGTCAGATGCACCTTAGTCGTCAAGGTTACAGCTTTGCTTTTTAACACTTTAAAGAGGTCTTTTGTAGCAGATCTGACCAATGCAATATGTCATTTCATTTCTTCACTGCTGCTTCCATGGGCTTTCACAGACAGATCATGAAAATTCATAACTATCACTGGAAAATAACATTTAATACCTTATTTCAGGTGAATCTGTTTCAGTATCTTAGAAGCGAGAGAATGCTACCATAAAAATTCTGCTATATTCTCTTTGGTTTCAAGCTGTGTCTAGGTGAGGATTTATTTATCTTGCTTGTAACTCATTAGGCTTTATGAATTTGAGGACATCTGCCCTAGATTATTTCTGCAATTTTTTTACCCATTGTCTCTTCACTCTCATGTTATTTTTTCTCCTATTGGAACTTCTATTAAAGATTATATTGCACCTTCTCATTCCAGCATAAGTGTCTCTCAAGCTTTCTTATTTTTCCTCTCTTTTTCTTGCATTCTGGGTAATTTCTTCAGCTCTCTCTTTCAGTCACTTATTCCTCCTTCGGCTATCTTTGGTGATTAACCCATTCATTTTCACATTTCAATGATAACATTTTTATTTTTATAAGTTTTACTGGATTACTTTTCAAATCTGCCCAGTCTCTTTTGATTTACTTTGTTTTCATTTCCTTATTTTAAGCTTTTAGTCATTTTAAACATATTTATTATATGATCGCTAAATGATAACTTAATCTTTACTTCTCAGGGATTAATCCTGTTATTTGTTTTGCCTACTGACTCTTAATAATGGGAGATTGTTTGCTCAATTTTTTAATTGGGGATTGCAATTCATCTTTAGCGGGGCATTACTGTGAGACTCCTGGTAGCCTGGTTTCGAAGCTTGTCCCACTGGGGTTTTGTTTGCTTTTGCCAGATAACTCGAAGGTTTTGCTAGCCTGAGACCTCTTCTTAATTTCTCAGGTTAGACAGTCTCAGACCAAGTCCAAGCCAAACCAAGCCAAGCCAGTTGCTGTGGAATCAATTCTGACTCATGGTGACCCCAGAAGACACAGCAGAACTGCCCCAACGGGTTTCCAAGGCTGTAATCTTTACAGAAGCAACTGCCACATCCTTCTCCAGCGGAGCAGCTGGTGGATTCAAACTAGCAACCTTTCGGTCAGCAGCCGAGTGCTTAACCACTGCATCACCAGGGCTCCTGCTTGAGACCAAGCATCCAAACCAAACCTATTGCCGTAGTATTAATTTGAACCCCAAGACCACAATGGGCAGGATCATGGTGGCAAATTCTTAGAAGAGTCTTTGTTTTTTTCTCCCACACTGAGATAAACTAGTTTTTTTTGTAGTCTTCATTGCTGGTGGATGGGATCTTCTCCTCATCTACCCCTCTGCTGAAGGTATAGTCCTTTACGAATCCTGGTTTAATGCTTGGATCTTGGTTCTAACTCCCCACTTTGTGCAGACTCAAGGCCTTGTAACCTGTTTCCACATGGGCATTAAAACCCCAATCCCTACAATGCTGTGATAGTTACGACTGTGTGTCAACTTGGCTGGGCCATGATTCTCTGTGTTTTGGCAGTCGTATAATGTTGTGATCACTTCCCTGTTGAGATCTGATATGTAATCACCACCATGATGGGATCTGCTGTGAATAGCCAATCAGTTGAAAAGGAATTTCCTTAGGCGTGCGGCCTGCATCTGAATATAAGCAGACGTTCTGGCTTTTGCCTACGCTGGATCCTGCAGCTGGCTCCTGTTCATCTGACCTCCGGTTCTTGGGACTTAAGCTAGCAGCTTACCTGCTGTCTTGCCTGCCAATCTTGGGATTCATCGATCTTCACAGCCTACGAGCAAGAGCCCTGCTCTCCAACCTGCTGATCTTGGGTTTGCGAGCCTCTGCGGCTACGTGAATCAGCAGAAGCCTCTATACTGATCCAGGAACCTGGAAAATTCCAGCCTCTACAACTGCGTGAGCCATTTCCTTGATATAAATCTCTCTCTATATATATTTATACATTTTACTGGTTTTGCTTCTCTAGAGAACCCAGCCTAAGACAAATATCCAGATCAATAACTCTCAATTAATTCCCATGGGGCAGCTACAGTGTCAGCTGACACTATGTTTTTGTTTTTCAGACTCTTCTTCACTTTTGGACTCTGGGTATTTTCCTTACTTTCTTGAAAGCTCATCTGTTCATTTACATGGATGTTTGTTATATTTTAGCTAGCATTTCTAAGTGATTTGAAGTAGAACGGTTTTCAGATTAGCTACTCAGCCATACTGCCAGACACAGAAAAGTATAAAGAATTATATAAGTATAATTCTTATAAAACTCTATGAACTTCAGGCAGAGCAAATGGACAAAAATAATTACTGCACTTTTAAAAAGTTTAGATTGCTGTTAAAAAAGCAATGGCATCGTAAATATCAAATACTCCGGTTTTACAGCTTCAAAGCCTATTTCCTTTTAGTTGACATTGTAGTCACAGAGCTATAAAAGAAAATCTTATCAAAACCAAATAAATAACTTTTACTCCTAAAGACAATAAAAAGCTCCACCTTGCCACAACTGACATACTCATGTAAACGACAAGCCACATGCTATAGTCATAGAACCTGCAGGAAACCTAGAGTGGTTGCTAGGCATTCCACAGTTTATATCTGCAAGCCATTTAAGACAATGTACTGCATTTAAAAAAGAAAAAAACAGAACAGTCTTAATATATAGGGTGAGTGTATACGTAAAAAGAGGTTAGAAAACTTAAAATAGATCACAAGAAGCTAGTTATAGAGCAAAGATTACAATTCAAAATGCCTGCTTATGCCAGACAAACACAGTCATACATCACTTAACATTCACCATACGTTCTGTAAGATACGACGCTGTGATCTGGATGTTGTGTGAACACCTTATTATATACTTAGCAAAGCTATATGGGATACTATAGTATACCTGCATTGACTAAACAGGTTTCAGCAAATTCTGCTGCTGCCTTAAGCATCCGCACTTGCAGACTCACCACCTGCTTTCACATTATGCAGTGAAAAACATTGCCTGAAGCGCTTGAACCACTCAGAGCTAGCACTAAACTCGGTATCACAGTCTGGTCCTGCTTTTTCTTTAAGCATCTTGAACAAGCTTCTGCCTTAATAGTGATCGTCAACGTGCTAAGAAAGATTCACTTTC